CCCAGCTGTGCAGACAAACATTCTATTCATCTCCACTCTCACAAAGGCACCCTCACCTTTCCCCCAAGAACAGCCTTGCATTTGCCCCACAGGTGAGTTAACAGCAGGACAGATGAACTATACCGTGGGCTGAACACATCGGCAGAAAATGCCATTTAAAAGAAAGTCCAAATTTCACTTGGCAGCCTCAGGAGTGAAACAGTTCCCTAGTTCCCTGGAATATGGGAGAAGGGCAGGCTATGGTGAGGCACCTTTACATCACCTGACCTAGAAGAGATGGGTCAGTGCTCAGGTTAAAAGGCTCTCACGCAGCTTTAAAAACTGAGTCAGAGGGCAGTCTCCATAAAACCTTCCAAGGATTTGGCACACGCATTTCTTACATCCATTGAAAGTCTCAGTCATCAGCACTAGAAGTCTGGAAACTGACTGAAGTATTACACTTTAACCTTAATCCTTTTTTCACTATTCATCCTGTTCTTTAGTGTTACAAGGTTTTGATAAATACAGGTTAATAAACATAGCAGTGTTGCACTAAATATCCCTTTTTTACATATGACTGTAAATCAGCAAATATTTCTTGAGCAGAACACAAACATAGGAACAACCACTGTTTTTGCGTTATAAAAAATGCTAAGCTAGTTCTTTAGATCTGTTCAAGAACTTTTATTTTTTCCCTGTGAATATTTTCTCCAGTTTTCTTGTTACCAGCATTGAAAACATTGTCTGAAATAATCACAATCAATGAGACAACCTCACCAATTTTTTATCCAAATCTCTTGTTTTATTGTCCTTTTGGTAACATTTCTTAGTGTCTTGCACAAGAACAAGTTGAGGAATTCTAGGTGAGATCGTAACAGTGAGCGTACTAGCAATAAGGGTGTAGCTTGCCTTTCTACCAAAAAATCCTAAGCTATTAGATACACTGCTTTCAGTCGGAGCAATACAGACCTACAGCAGCTGCACATCATTTTCATTAAAAAAAATCTGAAGTAAGTGAACACGGCAGTACAAGAGAGGGGATTGCTCCGCCAGGAATGCAAACTAAACCCAGCTATCAAATTTCACTGTGTTGCACTTTAGTTTAGAACTTTCAGAACGTATCACAGGTGTCAGAGGTGAGACTTTGCCTTCCTCCACCAGCAAAAAAAAAAAAAGTACCAAACAAACCAAACACCACCCAGCTTCTTATTGTTTAACATAAAGAAGCTGATCTTTACTTAGTAGCCACCTAACCTCTCTTTTGTTTTGATCTGCTTTTTTTATTTTTTTTAATTTTTTTTATTTTTTTTTTTTATCTTTAGCTCACAAGATACCCATTATCTTGTGAAAGTCTCCAACTGCTGGAGTAGTTGGAAAAAACATTGCGTGATTTCATCAGTGATCATGGAAAAATAATCTCTGCCCCAGACCAGGAAAGGTATTTTAGTTTAATGTAGTAATTCCCTTCACCCCTCTACAAAGTAACCCTGCAACACAACTGATTAATGGAGCTCTTCCTGTGATCCAGTAAATTGAAAGCGAAATGTCACCATAATTCAGAGTACAGAAGAACAGATTTGCAAATTCGAGTAATGGCAGAGGTTTTGTAGCATTCTAGTCTTGCCTAGAACCAAAGTGATTATGATAAAAGTCTGAAGCAGGGCTCTCCAAAGAGAGGTGCAAATAAACTTTTCAGATAAAATCTTTTCAGTTCAAATATACATGTCTATCTTTTTACTTTGCAAAATGGCTCAATGAAATGTAATTTTTATTCAAATGCTATACATAAATATTCAAGTGGTAATTGCAGAAGTTGTAATACAAATTAGCTGACTCCTGCTTGACCACAGCTTCGAGCTACTGGAAATGGGAAGGGAAAGAAATGAGCATGTCTGAGGGTAAAGGATCCCGTCTAGACATGGAGCATGGCAAGAGAAGTCTGGAAAACTGAAGGTCTGTTTCTGTGATGGCCAGTTAGACTGGAGAAAAATAAGCACTGAGGCCAGTCAATTTCAGAAGACTAGAGAATCATTTTTGTCTTAAGAGGCACTTTTCTTTACCCCCTCGGATCTAAGAACACTGGCTAAGTTTCCATTCACCACAATTCAGCCTATAAATAAGCAGTGTGGTATAACCAAGTTGTAAATGCAGTCTAATTTTCCAGACCCACCTCCAAAGACCAACCAAAATTAGCATTCTGAAGATCAGTTTAGCTCTAGCCAACGCTGCGTTTTGCCAACACACACAAAGCTTCCCATACAGAATTTCAGCAATCACCTACAAGGCCTTCAATAAACCCCCCCATACTTCAGACAGTTTAGAGATTTACAGCACTACTCTTTCAGTCAATCCTTAGCCTATGTGGCTCAAGAAATGGGATGCTACTGAAAGCATCTCTCAGATAGGCATGAAAAAGATATGGACCCTTTAAGGCTATTAGAAGAATTGTACTTTAAATAGGACAGTCAGCCCAAACCAGGCTAATTCCAATTTATTTCCCTCAGACTAAGCTTCCTACACAGTTCCAATTCCGAAACGCCTTTAGGCCAGGAAATGAGTAGAACTGATGTTAACATGTGCCACACTCAGTGCTGGCACTACCACAGCAATTGGCAAGGTGATCCACATATTCATTAATCTCTAGGCTGCTACATATGTAAAAAAAAAAAAAAAAAAAATTGCCTCCTAGAGATCACCTAGAAGCATGCTCGATTACCATCAAAAATTTAGTCCTTCACAGGGGAAAAAAATCACATACCCTGACCCTGATAATGGCAGACAGCCTCCCAGAATACTAAATTCCACATATTCACTGTGCTAGCACAACCTTTGTTTTATATTATACAATATTAATTTTAGCAACTGACTGCTTATTCTCATGCAATGACACACCATAAACCAAGAACTAATTCATTAACCTAATAAGTAATTTGCCTTCATTTTATGAGTAGTCATTTCTGCTCAAAGTACAAATTAAAAACTACTTAACAATTAAGAATTAATATGCCAAGCTAACTGAAATGGTGCTATTCTGTAACCTTTGCTTAATTTTTTTTAAAAAACTGTACTTGACTAAAACACCTACCTCTAAAGTAAGAAAGTAATATAAAACACAAATTAAGCTTCATGGAGTACTGTCAGAATACCAGAAGCCAAGTTCTTACTTCAGCTCCCTAAGAAAAGGGCCAAGGTCACAAATGGCAAACTGAGAAGTTAAATTGCCTGCCTTTATCACATGCTTTATTAAAGGGAGCATAGGTTTCCTTATCCCTGTTAGCAGCCCTAAAGAAAACTGCATGCTGATATTTGCCTTCCAGGCTTTAAAATATCATTAAATCTTTATTATTGAGTACACATTAAACATAATTGTATCTTGAGTAAGAGAATCTCTGTGGTGAGCTCATATTACAGGCAGATATGATTTTTAGAGGTCACGATAGACAAGACTATGGGAATCACTACCACTACCTTGGAAAAAAAAAAGAGAGTTTATGTGCCTGTCCAAACCTTTTCAGTCTTCCTAGGCCCTATTCACAATATAGACATCCATTTCACACAACAGCTTGTGCTTTTATTAAAAGCAGTACTTTTGATACGAAGCAGCCAAAAGATAGAAAACTTTTAGACTCACTGGCACCAGGAGGAGTCACCTTGCCTGCTGCAGCTGATAAGGGGAAGAAACTGAAGCCCAGAGGAAGGAAAAAGCACGCCCCGGGGAAAGGGCTTTTGACTTCGTCCTTATGGCCCATGCCCTCAGGCTCATCCCCCCGCCGGGCCCGGGCTTTGACACCGACCCCGACCCACCCCAGGCCGGGGTGGGGGAGACGGCGGGGCCCGGCCGCCTCCCCACCGCCCCGTTCACCTTGCCCTCACCTTGAGGGCCGGCCGGGCCCGGCGGCGGGAACCGCCCTGCCCCGGGGCCCGACAGGCGGCCGCCCTGCCGCCACCGCTGCCGCGGCCACCCCGCCATCGCCATGGAAACAGGGCGCTGGGCCGCGCCGGGGACACGTTGACCTACACGCGGAGGCGGGGACGGGCGGGGACGGCCCGGACGGGAGGCTGCGCGCGCCCGCCCACGCGGCGGATAACGGCCCTGGCACCGCCGCGGCTCCCGCCCGCCAACCCCGCTCCCGCCCGCCGCTCGCTGCCGCCCGCCGCCCCGCTCACCCGCAGCCGAGCCGCCAGGACGCAGTACGGCGCCATTTTGTTCACTGACAAAGATGAAGTCGCGCCCCGATGGCGTCACGCCCCCCCCTTTCACACCTCCGGCGCGCGGGCGGGGACGTCACAGGGGCGGAGGCGCGGCGGAGGGCGGGGCCTCAAAGGTCCTGGCAGGGAGGTATCCGCGCCAAGAAGGCGGCTACCGGGCAAGGTGCGGGTCTTCTCCGGGAGGGAGAAGGTTAACGACGGAGTGGCTCTAACGGAGAGAGTTTTCTCGGCGGCGCTCCGTGCGATCTCGTTGCGGCGTTCCCGCTGGAGGTGGCGCTTTGTGTAGGCGCTGTGCTCACCCCAGGCAGGACCGTCGGGGCGCGCGGGTCAGGGGTGAGCGCGCAGGGCGGCCGCGGCAGGCGGGTGCTCACGTCGCCATGGCCAAGCACCACCCGGACCTCATCTTCTGCCGCAAGCAGGCGGGCGTCGGTGAGTCCCGGGAGGGCCCCCCCCATCGCCTCTCACCCCTCTCTTCGCTGCGGGGCGAGAAGGGGGGAGGGGGGCCCGCGAGCCCGCCGTTAGCGGCCGTTAGGCGCCTGCGCGTGACCGTTAGGCCTAGTGGGGGGAGGGGCGCCCGCCTTGCTCCTCCCTCCCCATTTTATTTCATTTTTATTGCCGTATTCTGTCGCGGTTTATGGGTTCTTCCCCTGGGGTGGGGAGGAAGCTCTGTAAGGAAGGCTCCCGGCCCTAACCCCGTCCCGGGTGCGTCCCCCGGGGCCCGTCCTATGGTGCGGGTGCTCCGGGGCCTCTCAGTGGAGCTGAAGGGCTCTGGCTCCTTCGTTACAGCACCCTCATCTTCTTCAGGCGGGGGAGGAAGGCAGGTGGAGTCGTTGGCTGCGCGCAGAAAAATGTGATTATGATTTACTCACATTTTACTCCTATTGTGCTGGTAGTACCAGTGCAGGCAGGAGAATGAGCTGAAGGCTTCAGCCAGCACTGGGAGCATCTTTCTGGCTGCAAGATAAAGTTATTTTCCAGGTTAGACCTGTAGATAAATAGCGAGCTTTGTGCTTGTCGCTTGGGTCAGAATTTGCCCTGCTAGGTCTTTAAAAAGTCTTACTTAGATTAGAATTTGCAGTATCTCCTCCAAATTATTTTTTTTTCACTCCTTAGAAAAGCAAATTTAACATGCAATTTTCTGAAAGAGCTGTAAACACAGAATATGCAGCTGCACTGTCTGTAGGAAAGTTCTTTCTAGAATAGTGAATGCAGATAACAGCCTATCTGTTTTGAAAATTCATTTCCAGCCTGATGAATCCCTTGATCCTCAAACTTCAACTGAATCACTATGAGTCTTTGTAAAGGTGGACATCTGCTCTTTAGAACTTGACATTTATTGCATTTATCCAAGTTACTAGTATCATTGTTGTCAGTTTCCTAGACAAGTGGCAAGATGTCTAAGATATTTCTACCTACCTTTGTACTCTGAAGCGAAGAATGTATTTGGGCTGCCTTAAATCGAATAAACAGTTGGTTGTGGGTTTTTTTGTCTCATTAGCAGCAGTGTAAAAGCCGTGCCAAGGCTCATGTCTAGGCTTTCCTAGACATTTCCTTTGGTCAGGTACATTGGCTATATTTGAAGTGGAGTAATGAATGTGGGTTTCTTTACTGCCAATGGATGTCATTGTGCATCCAAACTTCGATCTTGGTAAACGTCTCCAGGAGGCTATATATTGTTTGTTGAAAATACGTTTGTATTTGTGCTCAAACTGTTTCTGTGGTTAGGGTTTTGTGCATTTATTTTTTTTTTAAAAAGACTGCTTACTGCAGAAGGTAATAATTTGACATTCAAGCCCCTGCTTCTATCTCAAATAATTTTTTTCTTTTTTTTTTTCTTACAGCAATCGGAAGACTTTGTGAAAAATGTAAGTATAGCTTCTACATATAGTTGCTTGAGAACATGGTTTTGTGGTTAGAGTGTACAGTTTGAATTTGGGGATTTGATTCTATTTTTGCTTTAACCACAAACTTGATGTAACTCTGAGATGGGAAACATTACTTGTGTATTGCAAGTGTAAATCAGTGAATACTTACAAAGTTATGTGTTCAAATAGTTTGTCACATAAATGCATGCTGTTCTAGTGTATATGCTGATGGCATTTTCAGTAACTGAGGCTGCAGTGACTTCTTGGTTGATTCTTTGTAATCTGTAATAAAAAATGATAGGCCTGGTAATTTAAAAGCAAGAAAAAAATACATTTTTTGAATCTGACTTTTTCACACCTTGAGAAAGGTTCCCTTCAGTATCTAGGAGAATAAGAAATTATGGGGAGGGAACATCGAGAGTTAGAGCAGAAAAATCCCCACAGAATCAAATGTCAGTGCTCAACTGTAGAAGAGAAGAAAGAGTATGATCTGTCATTGGATCCTTGTAGGGGAACAGAACAAATAAGATTACTAATTTCTGATTCAAAAATGGTACAAGAGTAAGCAAAGTGAGGAGAAGCAGAGTTTGAAGCTACAAGACTGTTTTCAAAAGCACTCAGCAGTGAAGCAAGTTCCCATTGGTAGTAGTTGAGGGCTGTCATGCTGGAGATTTAAGAGCAGGTTAGATGAGCTGTTTGTGGGAGTCAGGATTAGATGCCTTGGGAACTGGTAATAGGATATGAAGCCTTTCATCCCTAGGTCAGCGTTTTGGATAAGGTCCAGCACAACAGAGACTGTCAATGGCATCTGATGGCTGCTTGCCTGTATGATATGAGTACTTGAGTTTCACTCAGTTCCTTGTGAGAAAGCAAGAGCAACTTTTATGAAATGGCTGTTTATGCCAGTTTGCCCTTTCTTTGGCCTTCTCACAGATGAAGGATTAAAAGGACCACGAGTACAATCTCTTATCTCATCTCTTTGAGGATAGTAACTCCAGACTTTTGTTGATGTGACACTGTGGGAGAAGCTCACACTGCTGCTTCTGTGTTGTAGGTAAGGACACTAGTCCTGTCAGTCCAGTATTTTTTCACAAGTTAAAAATTAGGAAAAGTTCTAAAGTTCTAGAGTAAAAGTAATGGTATGATGTAAGCAGGTATTGGCTAATCACAGAAGTGAGTTTCTTCTCTGATTGTGAATGCATGATTTAAAAAAAAAAATAGATAAGAACTCAAATATTGCAGGCTACTGGTCTTTGTTCTTCTCAAGTCTGTGTGCAAATACAAAGTTTCACCCTGTGCCTGCAAGATTGATTTCTGCAGTTCAGTTGTATTGTCTTTGAGCGTACAGGCAAGCTCTTTGACGAGGAAGCTTTTCCTTTTCCATGTGGGGGGGTGGAGAAAAGGACATTCTGTAACCAAAGGCTCTGCTGTGCTTGCAGGTGATGGCAAATGCGTGATCTGCGACTCCTACGTGCGGCCCTGCACGCTGGTGCGCATATGTGATGAGTGTAACTATGGCTCCTACCAAGGGCGCTGTGTCATCTGCGGGGGTCCGGGAGTGTCTGATGCCTACTACTGCAAGGAGTGCACCATCCAGGAAAAAGATGTACGTTGTCGTCCTGTCTCCTGTTGAATTGGTTATGTCTTTATTTAGCAGCCGTGCTTATCTTTAATGGCCTTGGAGCTAGTGAAATTAGTGCTGGGACATGAGACGCTTGGGTTCTACTGCCAGTGTTGGCACTGGTTTTCATTGCCTTGTACCTTTCTTTCCCTGTTGGCAGTTCCCTGTGTTTGCAAAGCATTTTGAAGTATCGGAGCATTTTGAGATTTTGTAACTCTTTTCGTCCTGAAAGATCTTTGACTAGTTTGTACTGCACACTCACGGTTCACTTCATCCCCTCACTGCTTGTTAGAGCTTGAAGTTGTTGTCTTGCTAGGTCTCTCAGCTTAGGTTTTATCAGCGTCAGAGATACTACAGACACTGCAGAGGCTGTGGTAGGAGCAGCTCCTCACTATAAATCCGTTATCAGCCACTGACCAAGGACACATGCAGTACTGTAAGGTCTGTGGAATCAACACCTGTGTTTTCCTTTGGCTAACAACATTAAATTCCATCTTAGTGTCCTGTGTCTGCACCACTAATTGTGTTTTACAAGTTTGAAGTTTCTTGTATAATTTCAGGAGGACATGATTTAATTTTTTTATTATTTTCTGGGATGGCCTATATTGTAGACATCTTTGCTGCCAGCACTTTTTGGTGTAATGTTCCTTTGTTTCTATAGTCAGTGCTGTTTAATCTTCTTGTGCTGAAAGATAGATGCTGCCCATGTGAAACAAGGCAGCTGTTCCCCCCTTCAGGTCTTTCTTAACATCCAACACAATGAGTGCAGGATGTGAAGAACTGAAAATGAAGTGGTAGAAAGACCTTAGGGAGAAGCAAGAACATGATGCTTACAGTTGCAATATCCCCAGAATACAGACCTGAAAACTGTGAGAGTGTCTGCTAAAGGTTGTTTGGGTTTTGGTGCTTTGCAAATGCCATTTCCAGTACACCCTAATGACAGTGGAGAACATGCTGAGAAAATGGTTCAGACTGATTCAGAGGAACATGCTCAACTGAGTGGGTTGCTGGTTTAATTCTCTGCCGTGCCTACATTTTCTGTAGAGGCCTGCAGCTAAATACAGGACAGGGGCAGGTCCTCGTCTGAATTTAGTCATTAGATCTGACAGGACCATAATTTTTCTTAGTATCTAAATATGGATACAAGTGCTGTGATGGTGGTGCTGCCTCTTATTTTGGAAATACTTCAGGAAACAGTAGTTTTGTTCAATTGCTTTTGGAACCAAGACACCTGGCTCGATAAGTCATGATTAAAATAGGCTTTGTTTTATTTTTACCAATTCATACTGATTGCCAACAGGTATTTTTCATAATGTAAGCTCACCTGTAGCTTATCATGTCTGGTTCAGGTGTGAAATAGCCAGCTGCTCTACAAGGGAGGGTTGTAGAAAATGTAAGGCTGGAGGAGGAGGAGGATGACAAGTCAGAAGTGAGGTATTTTGGCAGCTGGGTGAGGGCTGCTATGGGTGAATACAGTTTCTCTGTACCAGCAAACTAAACTGTTAGGGATTATTGCAGATCTGAAACAAGAGGTTTGACATGATTGACTTGCAGGATTGAGAAATGTTGGCACAGGTGTAGGGTGCCCAGAATGAGAGAAGTGTGCTGCCTGTCACAATTACGGTAGCTGGTGCTGAATAAGAAAAGCAGATGGACAGAGCTCTATACCTGAAGCTCTAAGACTCCAAGGTTTCAGTCACAGCCCTTCTGTCATCCTCAGAGAAAGACTGAAAAGGATAGTGAAGGAAGAAAGCAAATAGTAAAATGGAAGGAGGAGGTAAACATTGTTGGGCATGAGGCAATGGGCCTGGTTAGTCTTGGTTTGTTTGTTCTGAAGAAGGGAGGAATAGGTATTGTTTCACCCCACTTCTGTCTGTGGGTAAAGGCCAAAATCCTGCCTTGTCACCTAGGACAGCCCTGAGTTGCAAAAAGTAATTTTTGTCTTGGGGACAGGAGCATGCACACATGCTGCCTCCTTAGGAGGAGATGGAAGAATGAAGAGAGCCCTGCAATAGTGCTGTCAAGATCGCAGGCTCTCAGGCTCAGGGAAGGCAAGGCTTGGAAGAGTCCTACTATTGAGGTTCAAAATCAAATAAGGATACAGTAGCTAGAGATGAGTTGTGGAAGGTGTATGGGGGAGGGATGATTTCTTCCCTCCATCCCGTTATTTCCACCGTACAGACCCTCCTCACTGGGTTGCATCTCCTGTACAGGAACAGGTATCAGTGGGGCAGCTTGGGTGCAGTTTCTACAGCGGCTGACATTTGCCCAGAGGCTTTCTAAATCTAATCCACTCTGGCTTACACAACAGCCAAGGACATGCGTTTCTCTGCCTGCTGGGCCCCTCACAGCTGCTGTTGCCAGCCACAACATTTTGCCCTCAATAGATATGCAGATGCTGGGCTCAGGTGGCCCATGGACAAATGTTCCCTGGTACACTGAGGGATATATCTCGCTGATTTGTGTTTGCAACCACAACCAATCACTGAGGTGGGTCTCTTTCTTGCTTTTCTTGTGGCTTTTTTCTCACCGTGTACTGGAATTCAGAACTTACCCCTGTAGCTGCTGTGAATGGCTGTCCTCTCCCAAGGTGGCCACACAGCCTCTGCAGTAATCAATCCAGGATGCAGGAAATCTGAGACTCAGTTCTGCTGTCACAGCTGAGAGGAGTCCCTAAACACAAGAATGGCTTGGTGACATGTAAAGCAGCAAGATTCTTTTTGGCTAAGGAAGGGAAAGGTTATTCCTCTGGGCCCTATAAATCCCGTGTACCCTAATTTAGAAAGAATCCAGTCTTAAGGCACTGAGCATCCTTTTCATTAAACTGCTGATGTTATATGAGCTGTTTTCCATCTTCACCCTGAGGAAGAGAATGTCCTAGAGTAATGTTATAAAGGCATCAGTCATCTACTCTGTTCCACTGTCTTGCTAACCAGTATTGGAGGGCAGTTTGTCCGCACAGGTGTTCAAAATGTGTGTTGAGGACAGGGTGAGGAGTGTGGAAACTGAGAACTTACTAGAACTGTGTAAGTGATGATGATGTTCTGTTTGTCTGTCTCCTAACTTGCATTTTCTTTTCTTCTTGCAGAGAGATGGTTGCCCTAAGATCGTCAACCTGGGCAGTTCCAAGACAGATCTCTTCTATGAAAGGAAAAAGTATGGCTTCAAGAAGAGGTGATCCTATCTGTACGTGGCTACACCTCCTGTCAGGTTGGCAAGAGGGTCTTGGAACATCTCTGGACTTTACTATTACTGAAAACCGGTTGATTATCTTTTTTCTAAAGCAGTACAAATTCAGTAGTATACTTGGGCTTGGAGAGGTAACAGACTGAGTAGTGACTGAAATCTGATCAGAACTGACTATCAGAGAGCAAATGAGGATTACTGTCTCTTGCATTTTCAGAAGCTCTGCTAGTAGCTGTCCCAGCTTGCAATAAAAATCCTGGTGGGCAAGTATTTACACCTGGAAGAGACCAGCTCAGTAAAAAGCAAGTGCCATTTCTGGCGTGGGGAAAGACCTTGCAGTTGTTCTTACCAGGCCTCCTCTCAATTTTCTGGAATTGCCCCACACATTGCTATTGAAGAACGGAGCACCAATCCCCTGTGTCCACTCCCCCTCCTCCTTCTTCCAGTATATTTCCATGCTGCCCTGCTTTGTAAGGAACCTGCTTATTGCTGGTGCCTTCCTAGGGAGAGCACAGCTGTTCCATGTTTTCTTTGACAGATTAATCCAAGGCCCTTTCTTGTAACCATTTCTGTAGGATGCATAGCAATAAAGCTTCTTTGGGGTTTTTTTTTCTTTTAAGTTTTTTTGTTTGGGTTTTTTTAATGTATAAAAAGGATTTCTCTCCAGTTCATTCTGTGCCTAGTCTCTCTGGAGCTTTCTGGGGACACACAGGATTAGCCCAGCTAAAACTGCACAATGGGTTATCTGGTTTCTGACAGTGCCTGCTTATGGCCATGTGACCTTGCTGCAAGGAGCTTCAGGGAACGGCTATCGCTTTTGTCTGCCTGTGATCCCAGCCACTGATCATTTTGTCCCGTAGCGTGAGGATCGCTGAGCTTGTAACCCTTATCCTAGCTAATATGGCTGTGGATGTTGTTTCACCGTGCAAACATCCAATCCCTTTCTAAAACCTACTAAGCTATTTGACTCGCTCTCCTGTTCTTGTGAATAAGTTAAAGCCTTCCCTGCTGTAACTGGAAACCAGCTATTGTGTTCTAGGCTATTAGCCGTATGCGTGCTGAAAACCAGAGGCTGCTTGTTTGTCAAATACCAGTACGGGCTAAAAGCAGTCTGTTGGCTCAGCAGAGATCTGGGAATGGGAGCCTTTATGTGGAGGTGGAACTGAGTTCCCTACTCAGTGTGTGCACTCCTCAGATGGTTAAATTGGGGTCCTAGCTCAATGTGCCCTGTAGTCCTTAAAGTCTTCATAACCCGAGCAGAGCATGTGCTACAGTAGCGGGATTCTTTTTGCACAGTCTTGGGGTGCAAAGCCTGTATCGTGCCCCTCCTGGGATTTCAGTTGTTTCCCTGAGGCCAGTACTGATTCCTTTAACTTCTCTCCAGCTTAAATGCTGCTTCTACCTGCTCCTCTAGGTGTTTAGGATAAGAGTGAAAACAAGCAGACAAGTTGTGATCATCCTTCCCTTCCATTTATTCCTGCTGCAGCTGGCTTTGGCTATGACTGGTCCTACAGCCATCTCAGCTGCTCTTCCCTCTCCTCCCCCCAGCTATTAATACTGTCCAGTTTCTCTTCCAAGCTTTTCACAGTCCTTAGAGTAAATGTACATCTTCTTCCCCGCACCATGGTTCCCTAACGCAGCTTCTGGTTAATTTTTACCAATGTGGGTGCCATTTGCCAAGATGTTCGGAGCAAACTGGTTCTCTGGTTCCAGCAAACCCACTCTCTCAAAGGAATTCTGCCTGACTAAGCAGATGCTTCTTGTTCCTGACTGGGAGGCCCATGTCAGAACCATTATCAGCCATGTTAAATTCTGCATTTCTTTAAAAGCAGGGCATGACATGCAGATTTTTTTTGTACCTGGAACTTTATCACTTCAACCAGAATTTATCACTTGCTCTCAGTCAGGCTGCCCAAATTATCACACTAGAAACGCAGAAGCTTTGTACATGTTTTTTTTTTTTTTCCTTTCCCAGAAGTTTCTAAGGTAACAAAAGTTGTTTGGTGAAGGTAGAGGGAAACAAAGTTCGAATTATTTTTTTTGTCTCGCAGTTATTGCCCCTGGAGCAGGGACCACCTAGAAGATCTAATTTTAGAGCAGCCCTCATTCCTGATCATTTAGTGGTATCAGCCTGGCAGCTACAGAGACACAAGTGTCCCCATCCCTTCCCCCACCCCCAAAAACGGCTGAGCGTACTTACTTTCTTGGCACTCCGGATGCCCTCACTCTGACTGCCGGGTATGTCGGACCGCGCGCTCTGGCAGCAATGGGAGTTAAGCTGCCATTTCTAGTTGTTCTGAGTCACTGGGCAGGTGGAGAGAGGGAGGGACAGGCTTTTTCCCCTTTGCCTTGTTTGCTCAGACAGCTCTGGGGAGGACGCCAAATGCTGCCGGTGCTCGGATCATTTCAGCGCCGTTGCCTTTCTGGTACTTTCGGAGCACGGTCGGGACATTGCCCTGAAGCTGCTAATTCAGACAAGGGTAATGGATACAGTTGGGCAGCCCAGAAAAACCCAGCCTTGCCTGCATGGTAATGCTTTCTGTTGGCCAGCAATGAAAACTCAGGCAGGGCCCCTAGAGATCTGCAATATTTCTTACCTAAATAGATTATTTTTTTTTGTTAAAGTACTTGTCCAGTAGAAAGAGATTTCCTGGCAGCACTGGAGACCAGAGCACATGCTAAAAGGGTGAGCTTCCCTGCAGGGGGGGAATGAGACCAGACTGTCCCGCTACTGTCTGCCTGCCAAGCTCTGGAAGGGCTTCATCAGACCTTGGAGCCTGAAGTAGCCTGATTCAGGGGCTCCCTGGCTGCCAGCTGTGAAGCACTTGCTTGACAACTGGGAGGAAGGAAGGGAGGGAGGGCTACGTCTCTGCGGCAGCTGAACCCCCGTGGTGTTGGCTGCAAATCTTAATTGCATGGAGCTAAATGTGTCTTCCTGCCATTTCTTTGCTAGGTAGGGTTATCTCTTTGTTTCCTTTTTTCCCTTTTTTTTTTTTAAATCAAAAGGATGTTATGAAATCGGTAAAAAAAGAATTTTATTTCAAATATTTACACGGGGGGTGGGGGGGAAACATGGGACCTCTTGGCCTATGAAGTAATCAGGCTCTTTGTTGCCAGTGCTAACAAGGCATGGCTGCGTTCTGAAATATAGGTGTTCCCTGTTAGGCACCTTGTCACAGCAGCTACCAGCGTCAATACCTGCAGCCAAGCTCAGCAAATAGCTCTGCTCCTTTGAATCATCTTAGACCTTGTCTTGACAAAGCCCTTGAGCCCGAAGCATTACCTTTCTTTTTAGAAAAAAAAACAAAACCCAAAGGTAGGCAAAGGCCTTGAGCCGGCCTGTGAGCTTTCCCTGCGGGAGCCGGCGTGGATGAAATCCTGCTTTTGAAACCTTATCTGCACACAGGAGCTGTTATTTTCTCATTACGGGGATCAGCTGGAGACGTTGTTTGCCTATTTCAACAGCAGGAAAGAATTTTTCATTTCCTTGAGGCCGTCATGTGACTTGAACGTAAAGAGGATTCAGGGTATGGCGATGTTAATTATGCCCCATTATAACCTGACTGCCTTTCCTTGGCGTTAAATAGCCCAGCCAAATGAGCCTGGCCATTCTTTCCCTCCCCCCCATGCCCGCACGTGATTCCGTAGCTTGGCTTTGACGTAATAGCCAAATGGCCGAGGACGCGTGAGCGGATACAGTGACAGAATTCCTCTGCCCGCCTGCGTTACCGGGGCCACGCCATAATTACAGGAGCACGGTCAAGGCACAAGTATTTTAAAGAGCCCTAATGTGTAACGCCCTCTTAGTAACACCTAATTAAAACAACAATAGAATTTTAGAAATGTAATTGCCTCTTTTTTTTTTTTTTCCCCTTGATGCTAAAAATAGCGCAGTCGTTTTAATTTCCCGATCCCTGGCTGACGAGTGCGATTTTGTTTCCAGCAAAGCAAGGGAGTATCAGGAAAAAAAAAAAAAAAACAACCAAAAAAAAGCTTTCTTTTGTAACTAAATTCCTTTTAAATTTGGGAGTGATGAAAATAAGGCTGCTCATAATAGCTCTCATAAATCTTCTCCTTTTCTTCCTCCTCCTTCCCCTGCAGAAAAAAAAAAAAAAAAACAACCAACAGCTTCAAAAGTCGTTGGGTTTTGGTTTGGGTTTTAGTTTGTTTTATTTTTTTTAAACCAGTGGGAAATGAGGAAGGGTGATGCCGTAGTGCTGGGGCTGGGGAGGAGAGTGCTGATGGTGCTGGCTGGCTTCAGAAGAAGGCCTCTTCAAAGGCAGTACCTGTCGTAAAGGGTTCCTGAGAGGAGGAGGACAAACCAAACCCAGGAAGATGCTGAGAATCTTTGTGGAAATGGGGCGAGAGAGGAACTTCGTATTTTTGCACTTGGGAAAAGGTTGCTATGGAGAATTATTGAACCAGAAGGACGCGCCTGTGGTGGTTGTCCCTTTTGAAGATGGGTTCAATGTTTGAAGATCGAACATTCAGACATAACTGTGTTATTGAGAAGATCTGATTCCAAGATGGAATGTGACTCCGAGGGGATTTTTCCCAGGAATTCTTCAGAACTCAGACAGACGGGACACTTCACAGGCCAGACAAGCTGCCCCTGCTGAAACAGGGGCTGCCATAGTGGTTTGATCATCCAGACCGGTTCTGCCTCCCTGGTCCACTTGTGCCAACGCTGAGGAAAAAGGGGAGAGCCTGGCAGTGCCATTCTTGGTGTCCCTTCTGCTTGTTGGGAGCATCGCTGGGATCAGGACCTGCCTCACCCGTGGACAGCCCTTTGCAAGTGGTGTCTGTCCAATGTGACGAGCCGGGGACGCTGATCTCCACTGCTGTCTGTCCCCAGAGCAGCAAGACATCCCCGCCTTGCCTCCCGGCTCTCCCGGAGCCCCCCGCACACCCCGCGGTGCGGTACGGCACGGGGGTGGCCGTGCGGGGCCTAGGCCGCGGCCGCCGAGCGACTACAGCTCCCGGCAGCGCCCGCGCCGCGCCCGGCACCGCCCCCCGGCGCACACCCCCTTTAGCTCACTGGCTGAGGCAGCGCACCAATCCGGAAGCGCCGCCGGGCCCGTCTAGCCAATGGGAAGGCTGTTGCTAACACGCCGCAGTTATTTTTAGCACGGCCGCCGCTCGCGCACCTTGCGGCTCCCTCGCCTCCGCCGGGCCGGCCCACCGCTGAAGGCGGAGGTGCATAGGCGTGTGGAAGCAAAATAGTCCGTCGGGGAGAAGGGTGCGGAGGGGCGGTGGGTTGTGGCTGCCCGGACCCTCCCTGGGGTGGCACCGGCCTCGCCCCCTTGTCCCCTGAGGAAGTGTCACCGGGCTGTCCCCAGGGGTTGGCAGCGAGGGTGAGACGGACGGGGTTCCCCCTTCTCCTCACGCCCTTCTAGGGGCCTCACCCCCAAATCCTCCTGCCCGCTCCGGTTGTGGAGGGGGGGGTCTGTTGTCTCAGGAACCCGAATCCCCCGGGGCCGGGCCCCGACAGCACCAGCCCCTCCCGGCCTGCTTGTGCTCCGTGCGCGGACGGGAGGAAAACGCCGGCCGGTTCCTTCCCTCCCTGATCCCCTTCCATCCCCTCGCTCTGCCCACCCCCTCCCCCCCCCCATCGCCTCAGCCTAAGCCGCTTGGGGAAATCCTCGGGGAAATCCTCAGGTCAATCCTCATCCCCGCTAACCCCCCGGCGCACGGGGTGGTCAGAGAGCTCCCCGGTGCCATGCGTCCAGCAGCGTCCCCCGCTGCGAGGAGAGAGGGGGGGGAAAAAGGGGAGAAAAAGGGTAATTAAAGACACACACAACCCGCCCCCGGTCCCCGGGGCGCTGCGGGCGGCGGGGCCCAGCGAGCGGCGAGGGGAGGGGGAAGTAGTCCCGGCCCGCCCTCCGCGGCCGCATCACGCTGGGCGGGAGCGCGGATCCCTGCGCGGGGTTGCTAAGGGTGAAAGTTTGCCGTGAGTTGGCTCACTTGGGGCCAGGGCGCGGGCGGCTGCGGGCCGGCGGGGCGACCAGCGAGGCGGTGGCGACAGCGACACGGGCACCGGCACCCGCAACCTCCACCACCACCTCTGGGCGTTCCGCACCACCTCCGGCCCGCCTCGTAGCCCCCGGGCCCGCCCCGCGGAGGAAGCTGCACCGCCGGGGATAAGGCGAGGGAGGGGACGGGACGGGGCAGAGACCCGCACGCACCGCCCGGGCTCCGCCGGCAGCGCCCACGGCCCCCGACGGCTGCTGGCCCTGGAGCCGAGGACGAAGTAAGTGGGGCCGGGGGGTGCTTCCCTCCCGCCCCTTCATTTTGGGGCCTGTCTCCCCTTTGTGGGCTCGGCCTGAGGGGGGTTGATCGCTCCCCCTCACCCGAGGGTAATTGATCCGTGGGGGGGGGAGGATATTAATGGGGTGTCGGGGGTGGGGGGGGTTGAAAGTCATTGGGTCGCTTACGCTTTGCAATGCCCCCGTTCACCATTTTCTTCCTCCCGCTCCCGGTCTGATGAGGGGATGGGGTGCGGCTCAGCCCCAAAAAGGCCTGGCCTGGTCCCGGGGGCGACGGCGGACACACCATGGGTGCTGCCCGGGGTGGGGAGGTCTGGGGGTGCTGCCGGGGTGTCTCCCTACCCGCACGGCGGATCCAGCCCTCGCCGGCTCCGGGGGGTGGAGGGGGGAGAAGCCCGGCGACAACAAAGGCGCTGCCGGGGCTGGGCTGGGCGCCGCCGGACCCTCTTGCCGGCGGAGGGGCCCTGTCGCCCCCCTTGAAGGCGGTGGGAAGGGGGGGCCCAGCCGAGGTGCCCTTCGCGGGCACGGCCACCCCTGGGAAGGGAAGGGGTCATGCGGCTGGGGGGGAAGGTCGGGCCCTGGGTACTTTGTCGGGGGGAGTGGGGGATATTTGGGGGGGCCTGCACCCGCCCACCCCGGTCCTCCAGGCCTCGGGGGCCCGCCGGAGGCGGCTGCCAGAAGCTCGCCCTTGTCGGGGTGGGGGGAAGGGACGGACGGACGACTTTCTCTCTCTCTGTCGAAGGGCTTTTTTTAGGGACTGTGTTTTTGCGAGCCCCACCGGGGGGATGGAGACGGCAGTGAGGACGCGGGGCTTCTTGCCCCCCTCGGCCGCCGTCCCGCAGCCGTGGGGCGAGGCGGAGGGGGGGGATAGGCTGCCGTGGGGTGGGGACGCGCCTCCCCGTCCCCGCCGGGAGGGAGGGGAAGGGAAGAAGGGGGCGGCTGCCCGGCGGTCCCCAGCGCCGGGCGGCGGGGCGTGTTCCCCCCGCCGTGGGCAGCGCCAGGGCGCATGTGCCGTGGAAAATTTTGCGGCCCTGCCCCGCCGGGGGGGAAGCGCCGGGCCCGGCCGGTCGCGGGGCGCGACGGGAGATGTAGTCCGGAGGCGAAGTAGGTCGCGGGGAGGGGAGGGGGGGCGAGGACTTCAACTCCCAGAGCGCCCCGCGGCGGCAGGGCTGGGGTGGGGGGGGAAGAGGCGAGGCCGTCCGGCCGGGTCACCAGAAATGGCCGCCCTCCCGGGGAGGGGGAGGCTGGCCGCCTGCCTCGGGTGGGTCCCCGCGGGGCGGCTCGCCTCCCGTGAGAGGAGCCCCTCCGCCGCCCGTGGGTGGGATTCGGCCGGGGGATGTGTGTGTGTGTGCTGTGAAGGGGTCCTGTGTTCCCGACGGGCGTGGCCTGCCCTGGGAGCGCAGGCCGTCGTGGCCGCCCTCTTTCAAAGGCCGCAGGTGGGGGTCAGGCGGCAGCCAGCCGGTTCCCGGGGGGGGGTCAGACCTCGCAAGGTCACCCGCCGTGTTTGCGCAGCCAGGAGGAGAGGGCACGGTTCCCGTGTTTGCTCTCCTGTGATGCAAGGGGTTATTTGGCCCCTCTCCCTCCCTCTCTCTCTCCTTCAGCGCCTCGGTGTGCGGATCGAGGAGGGGCACAGGGGAGCTCCTGCCTTCCCTCTGCGGAGCTGAGGAACAGCCCTTTGTGTTCTGCCCACGGTACAATGCGCCTTTGCTTTGGAGATCTTGTCAGTGTGGGCAAGCCTCTCTTCATGGAAGACTTGTCAGAATACCTTTTGTGGTTGATATTTAGTTGTTTCTTATCTTGAAGCCATGCTGCTTCAGCTGGGTCGTTTGGGTGTTTTGTTTTTATCTTCTGTTACTACGTAGAAAGAGATTTGAGGGGGTCCTACTGGAACACATTTTAACCTGTCAACAACCTGAGGAGTTAATGGTATCTGACTTTTTGAGCCTTCTGCAAGTGTCAGCTACCTTGGCAGCTGTTGGTATTATTAGACTAATTAACTCATTTTTTTCATAGTCAAAGTACAGAGTATTCCCCTTTTAGAAAGGGGGAGTACATCTTAAAAAAGGAGGCAATGATTTATAATTGTATCTTCTCACTGTCTTCTGCAGAAGGTTGATGAGGATGTGGGCTCCTCAAAGTATATTGAGACATTTGTGTTGCAAATAGGGTGGTAACGAATTTTGGCCTCTGCTCCTTTCTCAATCTCTAATTTCTGATTTCTTAATAGATTTTGGATCTGGATTAGAATTTATCACACAAGATTAAAAGACTTACAAAACTGGCTCTTCTCTTCCTGCTTAATTTGCTGGGATCCCAGGCTGTCCTCTCCCTTGGATGCCTCAAAGCCAAAGGCGCAAGAGAGCTCCACGTAATCCCCCCTTGAGGTAGTGTGGGCCATGTAAGCTCTTGTGGACATTTAGGTGTGCACTTTCAGGGGTTTGCTATGTGCCATTTTCTCTGGAAAGGGCTCTGTCTCTGTAGCAAGACTCCTGCCTTCTGAAAATGGCTTCTCCTTGCTGTTCTCTGAAAAACTCGGGTTGCTTATTCCTTTGGTGTTGATCTATTCTTACTTGAACTTGGTCAGGTCTTGATGACCTACCCAAAGTTGTTACACTACAGTAATTTCTTAAAGCAGGTTTTAGGGGCAAGACTTCTTTCCTTCTTTTCCATCCCCTTGTTCCTGTGTTTTTTCTTGTTGCTGAGTCAAACCTGAAGGGGATTCCTTCTAGAACTCGTTGGCAGACTTGAGGCGTGGGATCTGTTTCTGGCTACTATCACCCTAAACCCAAGCCCCTCTGAGCTCAGACCAATACAGAAAAAGCATAGAATCCACACCCCATTCTTTTTGTTACAAAACTTCAAAATACTTGAGGGTTTCTTTAAAATTTTTTTAATCCTTTTTGTCTGCTAAACTAGACCAAGTGAACGAGTCTGGTCAATTTTTTCTTCCTCCTGACCTAGGCCAGCGTGGATACCTGGTTGTCCTGCCGGGATTCCCAGTTTTTCAGGGGAATGCTGACACCATATGTTTGTACTCCGTCCCCACCCCCAAATGATTGGCACAAGTCATAAACGTTGGCTTGAGTGCTGCGTGAGAGCATCCCCACAGCCCATTTTAGGAAGATGGTTGAGCGTGGTGTGTCTGAGCAAGGTGAGGGCAGCTGAAGACAAGGTGGCCTCTGACTAAGCTGCCAATTAAAAACTGGATATTCTGCTTCCCCCTAGAGAGGCGTGGAGGCTACTGGAAGTGTGCTTCCTTTTAAAATATCTGTGGGATTCGTTTTCTTTGGATGGGTGACAGGGCGCGGTGCTGACCTACCTGGGGTTTTTTTTTTTGTACTCAGACGAACATTGTTTGCAAATCTGCGTATAATGGGAGAGTTGAGTGTTGTGGTTTTGCATTGTGCTTTTGTGGGCTCTCTCTATTTCAGAGACTTCCTCGGGAGGGAGGGAGGGACAGAGGATTACTTCAGTCTTTGGCAAGCAATTTCAGTTTTTATGAAGTAGGTACCTGATCCTGGCAGAGCTCATCTTCCCTCTGCCCAGGGATAAGCGATGTGAACTGTCTTGGACAGGTTGTTGGCACGTGTGTGCTTTGTGACCCTGTGCACATTTCCTGCCCCCCTCTCCCTGCCAACTGAATTAAACTGGGATTTTAGGCTTGTAGCTAGGCAGAACCTCAACTGGGTACGCTTAATAAGATATGTGACTGCCAGTCAAGAGGATAGTAAACATGGGCTGGCAGCTGGTGCCTCAGCACCCTCCCTCGCTCCTTCTCGTCCCTTCTGCGCTCGTACCAGCAGGACGTGGCACCCGGCCTCCCGGAGGAGAGGCTGGCCCTGCCGTCCTGAGTGTGAGCGGGTCTCTGCACAAGCTGCTGGGCGAGTCACGAGGCTGTTCAGGTGGTGCACTTATGTTCTGGAGAGAGGCTGGTGCAGGTGAGCTGTGCTGGAAGCAGCTGAGTGCCAGGGCAGAGAGAGGCGTGTTAGATGTGCTGAAATAGCTCTGCCGGAGCAGACAGTTGGCCTGCTGGGTTTCAGCAGCGGTACTTGGCAGCGAGGTAAGTATAATGTACGTGCCTGTGTGCGGGTAGTAGCTACACCCTTCTTCTGTAGAGGAGCAGGGAGACTCTTCCCTACCAGCACCTCTGTGTTTGAGAGACAGTAGATTTGGGGTGATTCTCCTAAAGAGCATCACTGCTGTGCTTGTGCAAACTGCTCATTCTGCTTTCATTAATGAAAAAGCATCTGTTGATCTCAACAGGTGGAGAGGTGTTGTGTTCTCTCATCTTCATCCATCCTTTTCTGTTTTTCCCTAGGTTTCTCTGGAGCCAAATCTTGTCTATGTGTGTGTCATTTTGTCTCTTTTAATACACTGCCCTGACTTGCTTGCTGCGAAGGGAGTATGCATCTGGAGATCAAAGTTGCTCTTAACTTCATCATCTCATACCTGTACAACAAGCTTCCTCGGAGGCGGGCAGACCTGTTTGGTGAGGAGCTAGAGCGCCTGCTGAAGAAAAAATATGAGGGTCACTGGTACCCGGAGAAGCCTCTGAAGGGATCTGGCTATCGCTGCGTTCATATAGGGGAGACGGTGGATCCGGTGGTGGAGCTGGCGGCCAAGCGAAGCGGGCTGGCCGTGGAGGATGTGCGTGCCAATGTGCCAGAAGAGCTGAGCGTCTGGATCGATCCTTTTGAGGTTTCCTACCAGATCGGCGAGAAGGGCTCTGTTAAGGTCCTCTACATGGATGACAGCGAGGGCTGCAGTGCCGTGGAGCTGGACAAAGAAATCAAGAGCAGCTTCAACCCCGACGCCCAGGTGTTTGTTCCCATTGGCAGCCAGGACAACTCGCTGTCCAACTCTCCGTCCCCCTCCTTCGGCCAGTCGCCTAGCCCCACCTTCATCCCTCGCTCTGCCCAGCCCATCACTTTCACCACTGCCACCTTTGCTGCCACAAAGTTTGGCTCTACCAAGATGAAGAAGGGCGGCGGAGCCGGAGGAGGGGGCAGCGGAGCAGGGGCTGGGCAGCAGCCGAGGATGGTCAGGTCTCCCACCACCAACCTGCTGAAGCACAAGGGCCTCTCCCTGTCTATGCACTCTCTGAACTTCGTCGGGAGCGCTGGGAGCCAAGCCCCGCAGTCGCAGCTCTCCCCCAACGCCAAGGAGTTCGTTTACAGCGGCGGGTCGCCGGGAGCCAGCAGCCTCTTCTTCGATGGTGTTGCCAGTGAGAGCCAGGCCAGCAGCATCCCGCCAGCGTCGCAGTTCAACACCGGCACAGGTGGTACCTTTGATATGGCTCAGGTCTTCGGTGGCAGCACCAACAGCCTCTTTTTGGAGAAGTCTCCCTTCGTGGAAGGACTCAGCTACAACCTGAATGCCATGCAGTATCCCAGCCAGTCGTTCCAGCCTGTCGTCCTGGCCAACTGAACACAAGGAAGGAGAGTATTTTGGGGTGGGGAGGGAGGGGGGGGAAGAAACAAGAACAAAACAAACAATAAAGAGGGAGAGAAAAGAAAAATAGAAATATACAGAAAATATTCAAATCTTATAAATATAGCTTCTTGGGAAAAGAGAGAGCCCAGTGTTGTTGCGCTGTGCTGGCAACGCTCCTGAAGCACTGACTTGTTTTTTAACTCAGTCCCTGTGCTTTTTTCCTACTCACTTTTTTTACTCCTTAAATGAGTCTTTGGATTTTTTTTTTTTTGGTTTGTGTTCCCCCCTTCCCCCACCCCAGCCCAGGACTGGTGCAACCATAGGTCACGATGCTCCTGATGCCCTGCACCCCCTCCCAGCGCTGGACACGGGGCCCTTCCACCTGGGTGTAGGGATGTCTCCTTTCTACCACCTGGCTGGAGGAGGGACGGGGAGAGGATGAGTCAGTATCGGCAGAGATACACACACTGTTGTTGCGCGCTAGCTAGAAATGGGTGGGTGAGCTTGCTTTTTCTGTTACGGCTCTGCGTGTAAACGGAGAGCATCGACTGTGCCCACAGGCATAGAGCGTTGTGCTGCTGTTGCTCCAGCCTGGGCTGGTGTCAGCTGTTCTGTCTGTGTGCTGGAAAGCACTGACTCTTCTCCTTGACCGTCGCAGGGAGGGCAGAGTGTTACTGTGAAATGGCTTCTTCCCGCTCCTCATCTGCGCTTCCAGCTGCAGCTACAGGGCCGCGCTTTGAACTGAGCGACTCTGGTTATTGTCCCCTTCTGCACATGAGTGAGGGGACCTTTCCGTGCCCTGCTGGGGCCGGCCGGTCCGTCCGAGTGACAACCCTGTGGTGTAAAAACACCACCTGCCTGTCCCTGCAGCTGAGGGAGGTGGTGCTGAGCCAAGCAACCCCACTTGGATCCTGCTCCCAGAGGTTCTCCCCAGCAGCAGCGGCCAGCATCTTGGGGTGGCCTCTGAGGTCTGAGTTTTTGTTCCCTGCTGTGAATTTGTCTCCTTGTCTTGGAGAGGGAATTCTTTCTTTTTTAATTAGAGAGGCAGCACTACTTTAGAGGAAGAGAAAGGGCTATGTTGTTGGAGCGGTAGCATAAGGGTTTGTGCTTTCAGCCAGGTATACAGCTGGGTTAAATCCCTTCCCCGGCCCTTCTGGGGGAGCGGGAGGAGGTGGCTGATGTGGTGTGGAAGGGAAGCACCTAGCATCAACTCATCATTCCAGCTGGATCACGTCAGCGCGGACGGTGGCAGGCTTAGAGCAGAGCGGTGCCGGGCACCCCGAAAGCAAGTGCCCGTCCCAGCCTATGAATGTGTAGTGCCTCCCTGCCGCAGGGCTGGGATCTGGGAATGCCCCTGCAGCTTTCCCCAGGACAATGTACTGCAGTTGGGCAGTAGTGGCTTTTCAGCTAGGTTGCTTCTGTGTCAGGGACTCTAAAACCCACCTTCATGGGGAAGCTGAAGGAGGGCTGCTTCTTGCCCAGGTAGGGTGGAGGCTCTCTAGGTGGGAAGGAGGTCTCCTTGGAGGCTGTCGTGGGAGTATGGAAGCGTGCGAAGAGGAGAGAGGTGGAGATGATGAGACTCCAGTCTTTGAAGTTCTTAGTTTAAATGAAAAATAAGCTTTTTGCTGCCTCCCAAACTTTGAGGTTTGGTTTTCTTTTAATGATGTCTCTGGAGCACCCTCTGAAACCCACTTCTCCTGTATCTGTCCAACCAATGTGCTCTTTCAAGACATCCCTGTTTCAAGGGAGATGGGCTTGAACTCACGCTTTTCCTTCTCCTTTCCCTCGAGCTGAGATGAAGGCACTCCAGCCCTCTTGTAGTTGTGTTGCCAATGAGCCTTTGCAGAGGTCTGTCCCAGGGAGACTGCCACTTGCCTGAAGCTCTGTAAGGAGAGTTTCCAGCACACCCTTCCCCTCGCTGGGGCACTGGGGGGGGCACAGTCCTGACCTGGTGCCCAGCATGGGTTCCCAAGCAGGCTGCTTGCCGTCGAGCTATGACCAATGCAGTGGGTGGGCGAGGAGAACGGAGCCCAGCTACCTTCCCCCAAACTGGCACCCACGGCTTCAACCCTGCAGGTTTCCAGACTAGGGCGAGTCGCTGAGGAATGGCCAAGCTGCTGGGTTTGCTGGGTTTCCCTTTTTCCTTCTTTTTTTTTTTTTTTTTTTGACCCCCCCCACTTAGGGATGTTACCACTGCCACCCCCATCCTTCTCCCTGGCAGTGTGCTACTGAGTGCCAGCCCACTTGCCACACTGGACTGAGGGGTGCTCAGCCCACGATCCTGGGACCCAGTGCAGTTGTCCCCAACTGTCCCCACATCTGGCAAAGCCACCTGTGAGCCACTGCTGGGGGACAGGGTGCTTTCTTCCAGCACAGGTAGGGAGGGAGGGGAGAAGTGGGGATGCCCCTGGCCACCTGCTTATGTGTGTGAAGCTTTGATGCCGCTTTGCCCTGCCACACGTATTATACCTGCTTTAAAAATTAGTGGTGTGAGTGGAAGGAGGAAAAGAGGAGGGACCAACCTCTTTGTATCTTAAAAGGAAAAAAGCGTGCTTCAGAAACGTTCCTCCAGCGTCAGGCAGCAATGGAAACTAACGGCCTTTTCGGGTCTTTTCTAGTCTTGGATGTAGGCGTTCAGCTTCAATTTTATTTTTTAAAAACCTGCACTAATTTACCTGGTTTCTTAGGAAGAGAAGAGAGAAATTTTTTTTTAACTTTTATTTTTTATGGGTTTGTGTTCTTTTTGTTGATGTCCGTTTGTATTGAATAATTTGCTACATTTGTAAAATGTAAGAGGTATATATAATATATGTATATTTCTAACGTAAAAAAAAACTGTAATTTTTTTCTTTTCAAGATTTTTTCTTAAAAAGAGGAGAGAAAAAATATTTTTTCAGGAAAAAAACTTTAAAAAAAAAAGAAGAGGTGAAGATTCCTTTCTCCCCACTCAGCCTCCCTCCTTTTCCTCCCGCCCCTCTCCGAGGAGTGAATCGACAGTTGCCTTGTGGGAGAGAAGGAGTGAAAGAGGACAGAAGTCTGTATGTCTCCGAGCAGAGGGTTTCTGTGTGTGCTCTGCTTGGGTTTGTTTCCGAGAAGGGGGCTACTGAGAGGGGGAACCAGGGGGTTGCTGTCTTTTTATTTTTTTTTCTTTTTATTTTTTTTTCTTTAGCGAAGGAGGAATACAATCAGAGTTTTGTATTCAGAATGTTGTGCAATATTTTGGAACGGGACATTGGTGTGTCTAGAGATTTAGTTAAAAACAACAAAAAAAAAAAAACACAAAAAGGTTGATCAAATCTGTACAGTTTCTATTGTTCCAGATTTTTTTAAGTTTGTATTAAAAGCATGATATAATAACCTGTTGTGCTGTGGTATGTGCTTGTGTTGGGGGGAGAACCCCTCTGCCATGCCTGTTCCTGGGCGAGGAGGGATGTGACTGCCTTCCCTGCCTGCCTTCGGATGGACTGGTGCTTGGTGCCTTCCTCTCCCAGACTGGGTCTCTGGTTTGTGGTGCCCTCGGCGGAGGTTTCGCTGGGTTGGGAATAGCCCGGTGATGCCCGGGCTTGTGCAACGCGGCGCGGGCAGCTGTCTGCCTGACCTCTGGCACTGCCAGGAATAGCAGCGGCGTAGGAAAAAGTGGCGGTGTGCCTGGCATTCCCGGGTCCTGCCGTGATTCAGCTCTCTGGGAGGGGGGGGGAGAGGAGGGAGCTGGACGCTTTGCCTTGGGTGCTTAGTGCCTCAGGGGCCTTCAGTCAATCCAGCGGAGTTCCTAAAATATACCCAGCTTCTGCAGCCATGCCAGGCTGGGATCTCTGCCATTATTGCATGGGGTGGATGGAGCCTTCCTGGGCAGTAGTTTCTGCAGAGGGGGTGCTGTTTGTGGGGTGATTTCTCTCCCCTCGGTGCTTGGGGACCAGTTTGGGTTTATCCTGGTGCAGGCATCTGGCATGGTGCACAGAAGCCTCAGGGTGCTTGTGTGGGCCACGCGCTCCCTACAGTGGATGTTCATCCAAGGTGACTTCTCATAGCAGAGTGGGCTCGAGGCTGGGTATGAGAACAAGCAGCGATGACAAAGGTCTGGTTTTGCTTCCCTTTTCTTTCTAACCTCTCATTGCTCAGCTTTAATCAGAATTTCTGTTGGAGGGAGCTGCTGCTTTTTAACTAAACGAGATGAGGTGGGTCCTCTGTGCCAAGGAAGATGCCTGTCCCACCCCACGTGTGCTGGATGGCTTCCCCAGCCCCACCACCCTCCTGCTCCAGGGGTGCCTCCTTAAAAAGCTGTTGTAGGGAGCTACTCTGAAGATATTTGAGGAAACCAAAGGTGGAGCTAGTACTGGCTGCTGGCTCCCGCTGGCATCCTTACTTGTGCCCCCTCAGCCCCTCTAGCCTGAATTTCTTCCTGGAAGAGCTCAGCGCTGCTTTGCCCTTGGCTTTGCAAGCCCCAGGAGCTGGGCTGCTGCTCAAGCCCGCTGTCCCCCCCACGTGACTGTCACACTCTGCTGAGCAACAAAACTATTTTTTCCCCTTTGTGTCTCAAACCCCTTGTAATCATTTATCCGAAGCACGCACAAACTTTCGCCCTTAGACATGTTTCTGGAAATGGAAAATGGAGGGTGAGTATGTGCCTTCCTGATCCTTGCCCTGCATTTGCCGGGCTGTGACGCAGGGAGGCAGGGAGCCTTTCCCTTTTTGGGCACAGGTACGCCAAGCAGTGGGGCCTGGAGTGAGCTGACAGCCGATAGCTGGGCAGGGATTAGGGAAAAGGCTTAGTATAGCCTCCTTCCTCTGGAGGGATTTTGCTCCTGGCCTTTCTCAGGGAGCCTGAAGGGGAGGTGAAATGTCCTTTCTCCTTGCCTCAACGCGGGGTGCAGCAGGGGAGGGAGCCCAGCAGGGCACAGGGATGGGGATCTGCCCTCCCTCAGCCTTCAGGGAGGAGAGGAGGTGCCCGGGTGCGGGCAGTGACTGAGTCGGTCCCCAAATAGGGTGCTCCAGCAAGGCAGGGCAGCAAGATGGGACTTGTCTCCTGGAAGCACCAAAGCGAGGGGCGAGGGGGTGGTGTTTAGACACTCGTCACAGGGGACTCCGTTATTAAGAAGGAAACTTGCAACTTGAGTCACCGAGCGAGCGGGCGGGCGGGCTCCCACCTTGAAAGGAGGAGACAGCTTGGGTAGAAAATGCCACGCTTCAGCCTTGGGCTTTTCAGTCTGTGACAGCAGCAGCTTCTGACACGAATCAGGCTGTTCTGGGAGGGAGAGGGAGGGAGGCGGAAAGCCTTATGCAAGCATGAAAAGCTGTCTGCAAGGCAGCCTTGCCCTATAATTGTTTGTTAAATCCAGGCCCAGCAAAACAGCCCGAGTTTGCTCCGGCAGGAGAGCATCTCCCGCTGCCCCAGAGCCTCCCGGAGACTCGGGAATACTGGGATTGAATAACACACGGCGCAGGTGCCGCCAACAGCGGGTGTCCCCCCCCGCGCCCCCGGCGCTTGCCGACGTGCCAGGACCAGGAGGTGGAAAAACACTGCTTGTGGGGAGGCCGGGACTCGCTGAGTCCTTGGCGTCCCCGAGGATGGCTCCTGCCAGTGCCACCTGCTCCCCACTCACGTGGCTGCGGCCGGTGCGAGGGACAAGGCTGACGCCGTGGGTACAGGGGGAACGGCCACCTCTTCCCACCCCGCGTGTGTCCTCCGTCAGAGCGCGGGCACCAGCCCAGAGGCTGGCCGTGGCCAAGGTTAGCCACCTCCCAAACCTTGTGCTTTTTCCTTCGGTTTCTATGGCCGGGCTCCAACTCAAACACGGCCAGGAACACGCTCGCCCCAGCCCTTGCAGAGCTGGGCCTTCTGCTGTCACCCCAGCAGCCGCCTGCGTCGTCGCCTCCAGAAGCCTGGTCTGCTTTTTGCAGAGCTACTAAAGAGTGAAGCTTTCACCATCCTCAGCCCTGGGACGCCTCGGTGAAGGCTCAGCCCTGGCCTGGTGCTTTTGGGTCATCCCGGTCAGTGAAGCGCCGATTTGCACGATGGCCAATTTGTGTGTGGCCATTGCCAGTGGCAAAAGTGACTCCAGCGTGGTAAGTGCATGTGCCGGGGAGGGACGTGTGATGATTGTTTTTCTTTCCCCAAGAAGCCCTCAGAGGCACAGCAGCAGGTTAGGAAAAGGAGATCTCTGCAAAGAATCACAGAATCACATGGGGTTGGAAAGGACCTCTGGAGATCATCTAGTCCAACCCCCCTGCCAAAGCAGGTCCACCCAGAGCAGGTTGCACAGAAACTTGTCCAGGCGGGTTTAGAATGTCTCCAGAGACAGAGACTCCACCACCCTCCCTGGGCAGCCTGTTCCAGGGCTCTGCCACCCTCAAAGTAAAGGAAGTTCCTCCTCATGTTTAGGTGGAACTTCTTATATTCAAGTTTGTGCCCATTTCCTCTTGTCCTATCCCTGGGCACCGCTGAAAAAAGACCAGCCCTGTCCTCTTGACACCCATCCTTTAAGTATTTATAAGCATTGATCAGCTCCCCCCGTCAGTCTTCTCTAGACTAAAAAGACTCAAATCCCTCAGCCTCTCCTCGTAAGGGAAGTGCTCCAGGCCCCTAATCATCTTTGTAGCCCTCTGCTGTACCCTGAAGGAGGTTCAGGGTCAAATTTTGCCACTTTGCCTTGAGGAGGGGCAGGGAATGGTGCAGGTGGAGGCGAGGGGGAACCTTGCTCCCTCTTTACCAAATGCCAAGGAGGCGAGTGTGATCGCCATGTTGTTCCGCAGTTGCTGAGACCTCGTTGAGGGGTTTTTTTTGCTTATTTTTGTTGGCCTGGCGCAGCCTGACTGCTGAAGGAAGCAGATTCCCGTGAGGCAGCGTGTCCCTCCCACTCTGCAGGGTGTTTCCACCAAGGACAAAGTTTCCCTTCAACTTCCTTTCAACTTCAACTTCCCTGGCCCTCCAATCAACCAGAAACTGCTTGCAGAAGGTGCAGCTGGGGCTTCCATTAGGAAAAAAAAAATACACAAAAAAAACCCCAAAATAATCCACACAAGATGGTGCATAGGGAGGGCAACAGGCCATGTTGCTGCAGCAGGACATGTTTCACCCATGGGCCTCACTTTGCCCGCCAAGCTCAGCGAATTCAGGCAAGGACCAAGTCAGCTTCCCTCAGCAACACGCGCTTTTTCTTCTCCTGATCTTCCTGTGGTCGGGTTCAGTGTCAACACGTGCTGCTCTGGGCTCCCACAGAGGCCTGAGCAATGTCGCAGCAGGCCCTGGGAGCCTTTCCAAAATCTACTGAGGTCGCCCTCTGTCCTTGCCTCTACCCAGCATCACTCTGCAGTGCTCAGCTGCATCCCATGAGGAGGCACCATCGTCAACTGCAGAGCCTGCTGCAGCTCACGTGGAGCAAGTGAGGGACCATGAGCACGCAGGAAAACTTGGGGAGAACCTGAGGATACTTCATCTGCTGGAGGAGGTCTGGGGTTTGCATCCTTAGGGTGACAGAGTGGCAGCATGGCAGAGAACACAGGGGAAAGGAACGACAGAGATGTCTGGAAGACCACAAACACAAGCCAAGGGAGGACTGAAAGGAGTAGAAGGAAGGAGGACAGCACCCTGGGGACATCAGAGGTATTTACACAGAAGTGCAAACCTCACGGGAAGGCAAGGGAGGCTGCAACTCTCCTCTTCCCCCCACCACCCACTGAAGCAGGGTGTGTTCCTGGTGACCCCACATGGGTGGCAGCTGTGTAGGTCTACTCGCTGGCCAACACAGCCCAGCATAACCTCCCTGTCCCTGCCTGACTCCCTGCTTGTCACACTCTCACGCATGATTGTCTCTCCCTCTGGACTGGTCCTGACACGGTGGTTCCCTCTGGGGACACGGCAAGCTCTCGCAGGGTGCCTGTGAGTCACAGCACTGTCATTGCCTCCAGCACAGACGTGGAGACGCCAAGGCTCAGGGAGGGGCCATGGCTTCACCATGCTCACGGGGAGCACGAGTGCCAGGGCTGGCACCCATCGGTCTTCCCTGCCACCTCACGCTGATCCCACCAGCACCGGGAGCCACTCCAAATGGGAAAGGAGGTGATGCAGAGGGACGGGATGGAGACACACCAGGGCAGGACAGCTTATCCCTCACGGCCACGCCACTCCAGCTATCCACCAAGGAAGGGAAAGGGCTAGACAAACTCAGATGAAAATAGGATCCAAGAAAACAAACCCAGAAAGAGCACAGGTGGGCTGTGACGCACGGAGGCAGAGCCGAAGGTGCCCAGTGCTGCTGAGGAGAGCAGTCTCGCTGCGTAAGCAGTCGCTGTTGGACAGGACATGGAACACCATAACCTGCAGCCCAAGTGCTAACACATCAGCACAGAGAGCCAGGAAT